CTCAGTGTTGTGCAGGCGATGAGTCACAATAACGTGGCTAAAGTATGTTGACCAGACCACACACTAGAAGGTGAAGGCTTGAGAAGGCTTGATTCGACTTGAGAATGGTCCAGGACGGACCGAAACGTCGTCGTCCCTTCACCTTCTAGTGTGTGGTCTGGTCAACTCAGTATTGTGTTTATCTTCCGAAATAAGAAGGAACTCTGGCGGACATTAATTTGTATCGCAATTATTGTTGATAGATGGCCAGAAGGTGCGTAATATTTGGTGTGAACGGATTGGCTGTATATCCTTATTCAACATATCCGTATTCTCCATCTGTGTACTCTACATGTACGTAGTTTTCTTGTCCATACTTGCCATGTACGTACCTTACGTGCTCGTACTTAGTCGTATCAACTACGTTTGGTTCTGATCTCTTGGTTTGGTCCCGAAGCGCAAGTGAATATGAAAACTTTAGATATTTTTAAACGTCTGAAGATTGTCATCTTTATCTTGGAACATCCAGCAACATATTATCACCCAGCTGCCTTTTGTTCATTTCTCTCGCTTGCACCTACCTCACCCTCTCCCTTGCACCAATCCACTAATACAAATATCTTCCAATCCCTTAAGCTTGTTTCTTTCGCTCCCTTGTACCTATTTCTCCATCTTCCTTGCACCTCTCTCCTCCTCCCCATTGCACCTCTCTCCTCCTCCCCATTGCACCTGTCCCTCTTTCCCTTGCCTTTATTACAAGTCAGTGTCCTCTCAGTTTGCTTTTTTTTTTAATGCCAAATGTTGCTGGATCCTTATTTCCATTTTCTATACAATTAGAAAAAAAACTGGGAAAACATCTCCTCAGAAGAATGAATAAGGAGATCAAGAAGTGGTTACCAAGAATCTGGAATCCATTACGGAGTATTTGAACGGGTCATATCCCCTCAGCTCCGACGCCGTTTGTGGAATCGGAGCCTCTTATTTCTTTCCTAAAGGGTATGGAATGTAGCAATGAAAATATTTGGCCTTTGTAAATTTTGTTTAGCTTCCTTTCAATATATTTATATGCATATTATATTATATATATATATATATATATATATATATATATATATATATATATATATATATATATATGCATTATAATATGCATATAATATATATATACATATATATTTATATGCATATTATATTAACATTACATATTATATATATATATATATATATATATATATATATATATATATATATATATATATATATATATATATATATATATATATATATATATATATATATACATATATATATATACATATATATATATACATATATATATATACATATATATATATATATATATATATATATATATATATATATATATATATATATATATATATATATGTATATATATATGTATATATATATATGTATATATATATATATGTATATATATATGTATATATATATATATATATATATATATATATATATATATATATATATATATATATATATATATTTATATATATATATATATATATATATATTTATATATATATATTATATATATATATTTATATATATATATATATATATATATATATATATATATATATATATATATATATATATATATATATATATATATATATATATATATATATATATATATATATATATATATATTAGCCGAAAAGGCGTTAAGTATTCTCTATTTTTCACATGTGGTTATTCTGCATATATATTTACTTTTGTCTCGATACGCATTTCATCACAAAATAGGTTTTCATTTTATAATACACTAATTTCATAGACTAAAGACAAGGCCAGAATCTTTCTCAAAGTCATGGCCGCACACTCACTCAGCTGGAAAAACAACCAAGGAAAAATAGAGGTAAATCCCTCTGAGATCTCTGAGACCTGCGGTGGGAGTTGGTCTGACGAGTCCTGTATAATCCCTCACGGTAAATCACTATCCCCCCTGTCCTCCAGGGCCCCCGTGTAATGTTTCAGTTGGGACAGAGAATGGACTTATAAATCAAGACTGAAAACAAAACTCTGCTTTTACGTATGGGTGTGTTAGCTCTTAATCTATACACTCCCCACACCCACAATCCCTTCATCCCTCCCCCCCCCCCGACACACACACACACTGCCATCTATTCTCCCCCTCTCCCCCTCCACCCTTCCTCCATATCCCAATTCCCACCTTTCCCCCAAGCGGTGACAGGATAGAGTGAGATGATATTTCTTGGGTTTCACCACTGCCAACCCCCCTTCCTCTGTCGACGAAAACGACAGCTGCACCTTATTTTTTGGGGGGGGGGATAGAAGAACTTATATACAAGAACTTACAAAGTAAATGAATCAGCTATAAGATGGCAGAGTTTTAATATAAAATATCCAACACTATTCATTGAAAAATGTGAACTTTGAACTGTGTGGAAGCAAATATCTCATACTTATTAAAGAATTCCTGGAGGTCTTTGGGAAGAAACATTAAAAAAGAGAAAGGTTACTTGAGGAGGAAAGTTTCATGCATTGTAAGAAAGAAAGATCATATATGTACGACAGAAAAAAAATCTATATATCCTAAAATTCAGGAAAAATGAAACTAAGTTGAAAGGTAATCGAATTTAAACGTTGTTTTGAAAGTATTAATATATAAAAACATTTAAATAATTATTTTTTTTCTGAGACGCTGCATTACACTCAATGTCTGACTCGAGATATATGAAGGAATTCAAACAAACTTATTCCAGGAAACCAAATTCCAGTCCAAGCCAAAGTGTTCCAGCGATTTTAAAGGCGGTATAAAAGTTAAGCGGAAATATTCGGCTTCCTTTAGTGGAAACACTAAAGGGGTCTTGTCCCGTGGAGACTTTAGCGCCGTTTGGTGCTCCTGTAAAGTCCGCTCGTACTATAAATGGTGAAGTGTCCTTGGCCGCGGTGTTTTCAGCTTTCCTGCGTTGAGAAATTACTTCTTCGAACAATGTTTTGCCAAGAAATACGTGCGTTATATATATATTTTTCGGCTCCCCGTCGCTCTTTCTCTCTTTTATTCTCTACCGGTACGAAATTAACACAAACTTGATCATTTCTACTGAATGAACACAATAATAATGGCACACCGTGAAAAGTATCGTCCCTTTTGGAAAAAAATACATCCACGCTCTATTTCCTCTCATTTCCTCCTCAATTTCCCCTTTCCTAACACCTTTTTTCTATCTGCACTATCTCCTCTTTTCTCGTGTTCTACTTTTTCTCTTCGTACTTTCTCTTTTGTCACATCTCTTCTGTCTCTCATCTCATACCCCCTCTTTCTCTGGTCCCATAATCCTCCCTTTCTCCTCCAGCTTCGCGTGAAAATATTAACGGCCTGGCGCAGACTTTCACCCCAGTTTTCTAATCTTGTAAAAATTGTGACCGGCGTAGAGTCCTTATTTTGTGTGTGTGTGGAGGAGGAAGGGAGAGACGGAGGGAGATGTACGCACACACTTGAGGGAGGGTGGTTGGAAACGCGTCTAAATTATCAAAATGAGTTAATATCCATTAATATCCATGATTAATCCATTCAGGAGTCAATAAAGGCGAGGACACCCTCCCATGGTGACGGGTAACAGAGCTCAGCAATCTACCAATGTAATTACTGCCTTAAACATAATTAACTACTATAAGCGCTGATTTTTAATCGAAATTATTAATCTATGTTTACTGCAATCATGATTCAGTTCAGATGATATATTTCCCGATACTAATTTTCTAAATAACCAGCACTTATATACGAGCCATAATTACTTTAATAACTGCTATAAAACTATAGAAATTTATTAATTTTAATTTATTTGAAATGGAAACATAACAAATTACTTTTAAAATTAGCAGCTGCTTCTCCTACTGCAGCAATATATATATTTAATGTCATTGAAAACTCACACCCCAGAAGTGACTCGAACCCATACTGCCAGGAGCGATTTGTGTTCCTCACGTGTGCCCCAAAGAATGAGGTGATTTGATAAAATATTACCATCAGAGATAAAATATTACCCAAGATTACCATCAGAGTGCCGGCGTGGGAATGGGGAATTAGCCTCGGCTACCATCCTCTTTTGTCCGGTCGTGTTGGTCGAGTGGTTAAAGTGTCCTGTACGCCAGATGCAGAGTGCTCCTGGCAGTACGAGTTCGAGTCACTTCTGGGGTGTGAGTTTTCAGTTGCATATATGCCTGGAGACCGTTCAGGCTTGTTCGCATTTTATGTCATTAGACTGAATTTCTTAATAAAAATCTTATATTATATATGTATGTGTGTGTGTGTGTGTGTGTGTGTGTGTGTGTGCGCGCGTGTGTGTAAATCGCGAAAATTAACACGTGATGGAAAATGTGACAGTGTCAGACCACGGAGGAAGAATTGAAACAGGAATTTCCTTAAGTACTTTCGTATTTTAATAATACATCTTCAGAAAGAATGAAGATGTATTATTAAAATACGAAAGTACTTAAGGAAATTCCTGTTTCAAATCTTCCTCCGTGGTATGACACTGTCAAATAAATAAATAAATAAATATATATATATATATATATATATATATATATATATATATATATATATATATATATATATATATATATATATATATATATATATATATATATATATATATATATATATATATCATTATTCTCAGCTGGATGATAAAAAAAATGGCCATTGGCAATTTTAAGTTAGGTTATACTGGAACAATTTTTAACACCTCAAAAGAGCTCAGAAGTAATGCTTACCATTTGTCTGTCAGCATTGTACCAAGCATGAGTTATGAATGCAAACTCTGTTACGTAGAACTGTAGGTCAACAAACATTGCATTATTGTATACATAATTGCCTAATCATATACATACTTGCCTAATTATATACATACTTCCTAATTATATACATAATTATCTAAATATTTACATAATTGTCTAATTATATACATAATTATGCAAAGGTAACTTCAGGGTAAATATTTCTGTTAAAGTGGTGAGGATGAGGAGTGTGAGAGGGCGAGGCTGGGTTCTGGAGGTGCCCCTGCTGCTGCTGCTGGTGCTGCTGCTGGTGACGGCGGTGGTGCTGGCGGGTTCTGGGGCCGGGGGAGCCTCCACCTGCGACATCTCCGAGTACTCCTGTGACGACGGCGGGTGCGTCTCTCTAAGCCACTTCTGCGACGGCGTCGCCCACTGCACAGACTACACCGACGAGCCACCAGGGTGCTCAGGTGAGTGTGTTCTCTCTCGCTCTCTCTTGTACACAGCTATTGGGTATTGAACCTCGGCTGACTGGAATCAAAATTTGGGATTCGGAGAACCTTATGGACAGTCCGGTAAATGGGCTGTATATTGTGCCAGCTATAGAGAGGTAGTAGAGTGATGTTGGTACCAATGTTCTGTCGCACTCGAATCTTCAGTATTTCTCCTCACACACACACGCAATTATATATACTTGTGTGTGTGTGTGTGTGTGTGTGTGTGCGCGCGGGTGTATTTATTTATATTTAAACTGAGATAAGGGTAAAACACTGAAAAATGGAGCAAATATTATGCTTGCGATGGAAGGAGTTGTGGAGACTGGACAACATTTTCTCATATTCCTATACCGCCGCCGCCCGCTGATTGGCTATTCACCAGCATCAGCAACATCCCCCCAGCTGTGTAGCGAGTCAGTTAAGGCCCTTCTTCCAGTAAAAAGTTGATTACCTTCTCCCCGTGAAATCTTTGAGAATGTTTTATTATATATATATATTTATATATTTATATATTTGTATATACATCTCCCTAGGAGTTTTAAAATCTATGAGCATCTTGTACTACAACTCTGCTGACGAGAAAAACATATCTTGAACGGGAAATAGATAAATTTTGATTTTTAAATTCGGGATTCTTGATAAATTTACATTCTTTCGAAATCACTTAAAAATGTATATGAAATGTGTCCATTAGCACGAGAGTTTAAATATTTCTTATCTTGGGAAAGAAATGCACATTTAGAATGCAAAAGAAAAAGTGAATGGCGTCGAGTAATTGAAAATACATATGTATCGCTTCGGTGACATACATATGTATTGCCCCGGAGACATACATATGTATTACTCGGCTCTCTGTGGATGGTGGAGTAGTGTGGGACATGCTGCAAAGCCTGTATATGCTTATTTTTTGTTCTTTTTATCTTTATTCCTGTTTGTTAGTTATGTGTATTTCGTCTTTAATGCCTTTCTTCACATGCTCTTCTTCTTCTCTGATTATTAGGCTACATAGTCTTCTTAGCCGTAGTCTTGGTATTTTCTTTTTGATAATTGCTTATGCTTTATTGTAAGTTATCACATCTATTTCCTCTTTGTTGTTTTTGTTTATATGTAATTGTTCTTTCTTGTTTTTCGTTCATGTGTATTTGTTCTTGTGTTCTACCTGTAGCCTTCTTTCGTGATAGGGAAGACAGAAAGTCATAAAGTTTCTTAAATGTTATTTAGACGATCAGATCCTTATTGATCATCAGAGATCGTGTGAAATATAGTTATTCCCCCCATAATCCTACTTCACGAGTGATATATAAATTGAGCTGCCGACCCAGTTTAATTTAGTTTTAAATTTTTCTAAATTAAATTATATTTTCTGACTAATCAGGCGGCTCGTGTCACGGCTTTAATAAACCATAAAAGATTGATGGGCAAAATCACTAGCATCAATATAAAATCCTATTTCATATTATTTATATCATTGTCTTAATCGTCATATATCATGTCATTATATTAATAATTATGTCACATCGTTATTGTCATAATTTATATGTAAAATGGTAGCTACTTCATCATCATGATTTTACATTGAAGTAAATATTGGTTTGGCAACGGGATTGTTGATTTATGAAACAATTTACCTGGAAACATAATAGGCATTTAATCGCTAGACAGTTTCAATCGTAGGTTAAACATATATCAATAAGTTTGGGTGGATGTAAATAATGGCTGCCTGTGGGTCAATAGGTCTTCTGTAGTTTCCTCTTTTTCCTATCAAAGTAAGAGTTGTTTGTCTTCTCTCACCATGTGGTAGAAAATATGGGAAAGTTCACGAACAGCGCCTCGTTCTTGCCTGGGAGAGAGGGAACTATCTCCGCCAGAATCTACTCAGAAGTTTGAAATTAAAATGAAGTGTTTGAGAATCTGATGATATTGGATATCGATCCGGCCTCGCGCGCCACCATGAGAGCACAGTGGGGGAGAGAGAGGGGGTGAATGATGACCCCATTTTATATAGCAATTCCTCTCGTGTTCTTTCACCTTTCTCCCTCTATAAATTTAGTAGGATGCTTATCTTAACTGTATTATTATTTTTTTAGATACATTCTACATTTTTCTTTTCAATGGTGTATTTGTTAAATATATTTTTATGGCTGTAAGACAGCTTCTCGTTTGAATACTGAGCACATTTGTTTTCTGTTGTGTTTTCCCTTTCCTGTAGTTTTTACTGTTCCATTTGTATACCATCATTTTATTTTCATATTTTATTGTTTATTCCTTCGTGTTTTTTGTTTTTTGGGGCATTATTTCTATATAGTCATTTCTCTCTATCTTTGTCTCTGTCTCTCTGTCTGTCTATCGGTCTCTCTATGTGTCTGTCTGTCTCTCTCTAAGTCTTTCTGCTATGTTCCCCTGTTTGTTTTCATTCCTCATCCTTAAGAACTCCCCAGCCGCTTATCCCATCCTTTAGGACTCCTTAGCTGCCTCCACATCCTTAGGGACTTTCTGGCTGCCTCTCCACCCTTTCGGACCACCCCACCCCCTTCCTTCCTGGCGGCTCCCATCTTTAAGAACCCTTCTTGGCTGCCTCCACATCCCCTTAAGGACTCTTTGACTGCCTCCCCATTCTTAAGGACCTCCTGGGTGCTGCCTGCTCATCCTTAAGGACCTCCTGGGTGCTGCCTGCTCATCCTTAAGGACCTCCTGGCTCGCTCACTCGACACTTTCACCCCCGTACGAAAATGTCCAGCCCTTCGTAAATCTCTCGATCTCATATACCATGCCTCTCCCCTTCTCCATTATTATTCCTCTTTGCTCGTCTATTAGTCATTCCCTAGCCAATCTTCCAGCCCGTCCTCAAATCTATCTTCCTGACCATCTTCCACTCGTCTCCGAGTCCATGTTCCAGACAATCTTCCAACCCATCACTCACTGATACAGGCACCACCCTCTCTTTCAGAACCATACACTTTCTTTCCCTTTCCTTTATATAGGTTCCTTCTTGTTTGGGTTCCTTGGTTTGTATTTGGACAGTGTTTATTTGTATTATTATTGTATTTTGAATTAAACTTATGTGTGTTCCTCTTTCATCGTTCTGTCTCGCTGTGTTTGTTCTACATTGTCTGTGTTTGTTCTGTCTAAATCCGTCTTTCAAATGTTCCTTGATATCTTCACAAATCCCTTATTTCCGTTTATTATTTTATCAAACCCATCCCGTCCCATACATCATTCCTATTCCTCTTCCATATGCATTTCTTATATCATACCGAATATTATTTCATATATATCTTATATGGTAATATGTTTCTCACACATATTAGTATCATTCACCATACCTGTTTTTCTGCCACAACTGTTCCTTACACCTTGCCTCTCTCCCACAACATTCCTTAGAACGTGGCTGTTAATCTCTCACACCTATTCATTACATCTTGCCTATTCCTCTCCCACATCCATTCCTTACTCCGTAGCTGTGCCTCTCCCACAACTATCCAATATATCATCTCTCTACCTCTCAAATTATCTCTGCTCAGCCCTTCTTGCGCCATATGATATTTTCCAGTTCCTTCCCTTCTCCATGTTTTACCCTACATTTTCTGCATCTTTATCTACCTTCCCTCTGTTCTTTACATCCTTCCTTAGCCAGCTACTATTCTTTATCTCATGACAAACACCTGTCCCTGCCTATTCTCTAGTCCGTACCTTGCTACTTATACTTACTACCCCAATGTCCACCCTCTGTCTTACTACGTTTATTATCCACCCCTGGCGGGTTATAATCTAACCCTGGCGGGTTATCTACTCCACTCCCAACCCATTATCTACCCATTATCTACCACATGTCTTTCTCACTATCTACCCCAATTCCTCAACATCGTCCTTGTTCATCTCAAACCTGAATCCAACCCTGCTTTCTATCACTTTAATTTTCATATCATAACTCACACAGATTCTATCCTTTCTACATCATCCCTTATCTTTGGTACGCATCGTCTACCCCATCTCTTACCCATATTATACACAGTCAAAGTAATCAACTCCCTTCCTCGCTTTTATTACGCTCTGTCTCTCCCATCTACGTACTCTTTTTGTCTTGATTACGCTCTTACGCCCCGTCTACATCATCTTCGTCCTGCCTCACCTTTTTTACGCACCAAATTCACGTCCTCTTTCAACTCCATCTTTAGTCTGGCCTCCCTTGATTCTCTGGAAAAATTTATCGCTCTTGTATTTTCTCCATAATGGTTCCTGAGCCCAGACCACTCTGCTAGCTTTCTTATCTGCGTATATTTTTCTAATGTCTAATTTTGCTGTAAACATTCAATGCCTCGGGTATATATCTATTTTTCCCCTGTCTCTTGTTACTGTTGTCTCGTTATTGTTGCTCGTGTTGTAGATTTTGTTTGAGATGTCTTAATTCAGGGTTAATATTATTTCGGTTATATTTTCTTTGTTTTTCGATATCTTTTTCGCTATCATTAATTATAATTATCGTTAACCATTATCGTTATAAATAAAAATGAACATAATAGCTTCATAATAGCCAATAAAGCTGATGAAGAGCTAATTCTCGAGACCAGACATTATGACTCGGTCCCAATTAACTCTGGATGAGTCTCAGGACACTTTCATAACACAGGAAAAATGGACAATCATTGATGCAGATGTTGTGTTCTGGTTTATGAACACGACAGGAGCAGCAAAGGCAGGTATCACTACCCAGTATGTATTAAAGTTGACCCCTCTTTCGATAATTGACGAAGGCACATAAATCACATTTTTAGCACATTTTATCACTTAATGCAAATGCAGTTATCAAATTTGATTGAATGGGCTTCAAAATTAGCTTCTATGTCAAAAGTAATGTTAGCACTGCATCTTTTTACCAAACATGAACTATAATTAGGTAACACCATAATTTAAAAAACTCTTAGAGTCCATTGGTCTAACAACTCACGTAAGCACTGCTATTCTATTAGAATATACACTCGACCCGGTGATCAAAGACTTCGCAGAAAACTACGTCGAAATCATCCTTTCGGTTAAGCTTGTTCCTCGAACCTTTAAAGAGTTCAAACCAACATTAAAATCAAGAATACCAGAGACTGTGTAACATCTCACACCCTCCTGACACTGGGATCAGAAAAACTGCAATAGACAATGCAGAATCATGCACCACCTGGCTCTGAGATCATGGACATTGGCAGGATTTGTTCAACGCGTTACAGAGCGAAAACTGGTATATTACTCAGGTAGGAGATGCTGATACAAAAATTTTAAATCTTACTTTCCAAAATCTTACATTCCGGATTCCGCATATTCCCTCAAAACTTTATACAAATTTAAATATGATGATCAAAACTTGATAGAGTAATAGTTTAGAACTGTAGTAATGAAAAGTCAAGACCATAGAGTTGCCAGAAAATAGCACCATCTCCACAAGATCTTCAAAGAACAAGATCTTCAAAGACAATACAAGAAGCCATATAAAACCAATACTAAGAAAAGTGTGTTTTATTGCTGTCACGAGGATTTAAAAACAGTGTACAGGTGGGTCGGTTGGCAGTAAAGTTCGGTGGTGCATAATAAACAAAAAGAAAAGAGTAACAAATACTAGCATTTGATGAATCTGGTGGAACCGGTGCTATGAAAGCTTATCGTCCTGTTTCTTCCCTTTCCGTGCCAGTTACTAAGCCAAACTGCTTTACCCAATGCTCCCCCTCTACTTTTAAATTCCCGTTAGTCTACTTGTAACACCGCAAAAGGAAAAATAGATAAACACCTTTTAGACATGTGTTATCAAGATCCTAAGATCAAGGTGTTTAAGTCCCTATTCCTCTTCAAAAGACGTGTTTGCATATTTGCAGGCTCTCTTGCAGTCCTCTTCCAAGTTTACATAGATCTTTAAATGATTGCAGAGGAGTGTACAAAACGAGAGAGAAAGCAAAAACATTCATGAATCATCTCAATTTATTTTGTCTAGGGAATGTCGTAGGAAAGTTACTGCTTAAAGATCCAAAGCAAAGTTCCTAATAATCCAAAGCAGAGCGCCTAACTGCCCAGAAACAAAATTCCAAGCTATTAAAACCACCTTTAAATGTAGATATGTCATATCCCAATAGTCTCTGGAAACTATACACCAGTCGATTAAGAGTTGGGATGAAGGTCCCAACAGCCGTGGCTCATTCCCACAAATGCAACTAGGGAGTACAACTACGTGAATACATTGCAGTCCACAGATTAGATCTTCCAGGAAAGTATTCTCGATTCAAGTAATGCTCGAAATACTTGGCGCGCGAGTGGCTTTAATAAATACCTTTATATAACAAAGAAGCAATCACTGTATCATGGTTCTACTTTTGTATATTTTTAAATAAAAAATATTATTATTATTATTACTATTAATAATTATTATTATTAATATTATTATTTGGGGCTTTTGTCAACGAACGTATCTAAAGTAGTGAGACAAAATACTAAACCGAGCCACACTATGTTTCAAGCACTATTGGCTTATTTGTGCTATGTTTTCAACCATAAATTTGTTCATTGTAATGTCTTTATTGTACTCGTATAATTTATTCTTTCTGCCTGTTTGTTGTCCCGTCAGTCTGTCTTTCTGTTATTGTGTTAATTTTTATGTTGTTTTCTGTCAGTCCAATCTGTCTTTCTCTCCTTGTCTATATTTTTGTATTTCTGTCGTACTTTTTCCCTGTCTTTCGTGCTGTCTAATTCTGTTTGTCTGGATGTCTCTCCGTTACCGTCTGTTTTACCAACAGAGGCAGATGGCTCACAGACACAACCAAACATTCATTTGCATAGAACAGTAGAGTCCATTTCCACTTTTCTACCCCAGTAGTCAAGTCTATTTCCCCTAGACATTGCATACAAACTTTTACCAATTTCAAATTGAAGTTATTTCAAGATTTTTCAGAGCTCTTTCGAAAACAAACATATGGAGAAAGTGATTATAATTTTAGCAATTTAATTTTTAGGACTTAGAAAAAAGGCTTTAGATTTTTAAAGTTTGTTGACAACGATTTCAGATGTTAGAATTAATTTCCTAAATGATTATGTAATAACTAATTTAGAGTTTCGAAGCACGAACTCTAGCAATAGAGAATAAGCATATTTAGGGGATTTTTTAACAATCTAACAGTTAAAAAAATGTTCTGTACACTTCCATGTCATAACATTAATATAGGCATGGCAGAATACTATACAAATATAGCATCTTGTTATGCCTCACGATTTAACATTAAGATGTTAAATATATCTATATATTAACTTTGAGAAATTTAATATAATTGAATTCATGTGCTTGAAGGTACTCTGGCAGTTTTCCTAGTAAAATGCCCTGCAAAGTTTTCCTGTTAAGTTCAATCAAGTTGGGGTTAGGGTGCCCTGGAGGCCCAAGACCAGCCATTCCCACCCATAAACTTCTGTTTGTATTATCGGTTTGTGTATTTGTATATTAGTATGAAAAAAGGCTCGAAGCTTCCAATTTGGGGGGAATATTGTCTTGAAATCCTTTTTAATACAGTAAGTTACTCTATATTTCTCCCCATGTTACATCTCACTCTCTTCTCACTCTTCAATTCTTTCATATCACATTTCTCTCTTTCACTCTCTCTCTGTCTCTCTTTCTCACACACTCACTAACGCCTTCTCTGCCTCTCACGCCAGTGTGTAACCGCACGTTCTATGGCTACGCTGACCACACATACCTACTGGAGGTGCCGGCGCCCCCGACCTCCCGTGCAGGGCTGCCACAGGCGCCCTCACGCCCGCACCTCCTGATGGGTGGCTTGTCGTCGGAAGCCTTCAAATGCATCCTCACCTTCAACGCTATCGGCAGGACCCACGGAGATATCATTCAGATAACCTTCTCCGAGTTTCACGTTGGACATTTCAACGTTGCTGCTGCTGATGGTAAGTAGTTGTAGAATTAAAAATAAATAAGAAGATTTATAGATTTATTTTCAAATTGCAGAGAATTGGAGGTGGTGTGTATGTATATAAATATACACACATCACCTTTCACAACTCTCTATCATTAACTTCTGTCACCTCTCTCCATTTTCACTCCCATCTCTACCATACTCTAGCAGGGTTTTACCCATTATATTTTTCAGCCACCCTTAACCCCATCTTCTGTTTCACAATCTCGTCATACGTTTTTATACTACACATCCTTCCCCATACACACACAACTACACATCCTTCCCCATACACACACAACTACACATCCTTCCCCATACACACAATGCCTAACAATCCTTACCAACTTCTACGACAATCACATCCACTATACTGCCTTAGCCAATACGCCTTATAATCTATGCAACCCTCTCCAACCATTTCTAAAACACCCTGACCAATACCATCCTCCTTTCCTGTCATGCACGCCATCTCTTCTGTCTTTTCCACCGCACGTCTCACCATTCCATCGAGCCTCCTGCCATCCCTATCTCCTCTACCGCCAATCACAAAAATAATATTTTCCAACTTTCCAGGTCACACACTCACATCATCCCTACCACTCACGCTCACACACGGACCAAAGAGCCAAAGCTCAACCCCCGCAAAGCACAACTAGGGGAGTACTCACACACACACACACACACACACACACACACACACACACACACACACACACACACTTCATTACACCTGTCCTAGTACTTCCCTCCGTTGATACGCACACTTCTATTTTTTCACGAAAAATGTCCCGGAAGTTAAAAATTCATTAAAAGTCTTTGCCGTTACCTCCAAATTCCTGTCGCATCCCATTTTCATGGCCCGACAACCTCGGGTCATTACGTAACTATTAAACCGTTTTGGGCGCAAGTTATGAGGCGCTTCTCAAACTTTTCCTAATAGCACGATCGTACTGGAGAACAGAAAGACAGATCAGAATGGCGATCTACGAGCATAAATATCCCCGGATTCAATAGATTCCTGTCCGGAAATCAATTCCGGGAGGGTAAAGTGTCTTTCGATGTATTTTATAAGGTGTTGTAATTCCTTACGAGAGGAAAACTGAAAAAAGAAATAGAAAATTGGGAGAGGGAACTACGAGGTAAATGCAAGCTCACTCAGGCAATAATACTGAGCCAAACATGGCTGCTGGGACCATCGGCCAACTTCCTGCCGTAAAATGGAGAACGAGAAAAAATATATAAAACAAGATATATTTCAATGAGTCGGACGATTTCTTCAAGAGATAATTTAAGTTGTTCCTTAAATAACTATATGTAAACGAAATAATTTCATATATATATATATATATATATATATATATATATATATATATATATATATATATATATATATATATATATATATATATATATATATATATATATGAGTGTATATCACGAAAAAAAACACGTGATTAAGAATGTGACAATGTCAGACCACGGAGGAAAATGAAACAGGAATTCCCTAAGTACTTTCGAATATTAAATACATCTTCAGAAGGAATGATTCTGAAGATGTATTTAATATACGAAAGTACTTAAGGAAATTCCTTTTTCATTTTCCTCCGTGGTCTGACATTGTCATATATATATATGTGTGTGTGTGTGTGTGTGTGTGTGTGTGTGTGTGTGTGTGTGTGTGTGTGTGTGTGTGTGTGTGTGTATTTCATTCACCTGGACACTCTTAGCCTCGAACCACCGACCACACAGTTGCCAGCCGCTCTACCTACTGACCCACCAACACCCCCTTAAAGGGAAGGATCCAAGAGACACCTATCTGCTGCCTAACTGGAACTTTACGCTTACCCGTGGGATCCATTTTGACATGTAAAAGTTACGTGGTCCATCTAACACCTGAGTTTTCCATTGTTTTTAAATAATCAATGGGTTTGCCTATTTCGTCAGGATGCTTTCTTTTTAAATATCCTACAGGTCTTGATAGCTTCATAGCTTCATTTGAAAATGCGCTGTTAAATGTTAGACACGAAGGCTGTTTTGGATCAAGTGGACTGTCAACAAAGGCATAAGACAAATACTCCTCCAGATATCTATCTATACTTCTCTTCAGTATTGTTAATGATGGGAGGGATATGAAAATATAATAAGTAGTTTCACTTTTAACGTAATTCATTCAATTATTTTGCACCATTAAATACCATTAATACAACATCAAAACCATTAGTCTCTCAGAATATCAACACAAGAATTAAGAAACACCCGACCGCCACAGGTGCTGTTCAGAGTCACGCCCGCCAGATGTCTACGTCCTATACAAAACGCAACATGTTTATAAGATGTTTACGTCAGACTGAAGAAAGGACATGAATTTGGAATAAGTACGTTAAACTCCAAATCGGTATATTTTAATTTAGGAATAATACAGAAAGAATTATTTTTGTAAGAAAAACCTGTAAGTAATAATATATCGCCCCATACTGATCGCTCAGCTCATCTATCGCTCCCGTTGAGAAAGCTTGTTCTAACGAGTTCAGTAATCTTATTCTCAAGCTCCTACCACTTTTCGGATAACTAGTGAGGCTCTTGAAACCTTACGTTTCTCTTAAAACTCAGCCAGATTCATTGTCTTAGTACTAAGGCCAAGACTTTACTATTGTAAAAGGAGCCCACCTTCATCCTCTCCTCACAGATGGACGTTTGGTGTTTGAACTAATCCACAAGGGCCGTGACGAGGATTCGAACCTGCGTCATGTTCATTTGATGCATCACGTTAGTGTGATCTCTGTGTGTGTCTGGTGTTTCTTGTTATTACCTTAACCTAACTTCCCGAGAGTCTTACGAATAATCTCTATATATATTTAGGCTATATCCTCTGAACTGTATCTTGAATCCCAGTGAAAACGTCAGTTGGAAACCACGGGTACCAACCGAAAGTAGAATAATAAAGGGGAAAGCTTTAGTATAGATTTAGCCACGCACCAGAGCGGAAACGCGCTTCCTCCAACAGAGATGGTCGCCCGATAACGTCCCCAACATATCAAAGCAGTTCTGTTATAAAGCTCGCACTTTTACATATTTCCCAAGGCATGATAGTGTGATGAACGAGATTTTCGTGACCTCGGCGAGGTCACACAAGTTATTTATCATGTCCCTGGCGAGGCCACATGTATTTCATCATGAAAGATTACAGAGTGCTACATTGATCTGAAAAGAACTTCACAGGCACGACCAAGTTCAATAAATAGTTTTCTAAAATATTATCTATTAACAATATTCTTAGATCTTACATGGAAATCCCTTAGATTAATTATTAAATTGGACGGTAACTTCCATTTATTATAAATGTAAGTTTATAAATGAAGGTACATTTTACCTTCCATTTGTAAAAGGTATGAAATTAGGAGCGTCAATACATGTCGCTCCTTTGGTTGACTTTAGAAGGAGGACGTAGATACAGGACGGTGCCCTTGGGACCGTAGATACAGGACGGTGCCCTTTGGACCGTAAATACAGGACTGTGCCCTTGGGACCGTAGATACAGGACTGTGCCCTTGGGACCGTAGATACAGACCTTGGAACAACTGTGAACGTACGTTCATCCAGGAAGGATGTTCAGCGACCGGTCCCTTCCTGGCACAAGTCGTTGGACACCATTCCTTCCTTCTATCATCATATCCCAGCTCCTTGATCTCATACCGCTTCAAGGTGATTAATAGTCAAGCTGGATTAACCTTCTTTCCTGAGGCCTTAGATTGACCTTTGATGACATTTAAAAGATGAGCAATAGTGCGGCTTTTCTGGGTCAGAGAAACGACTGAAACGAGCTTCCATTGCATTCATAACAAAAGCAACTCAAAAGATATTAAATCCCTGTTTACATAACACGTCGTAATTACGTATATCAGAGGTATTCAGTTGAAGTGTTTTCGGTACACGCATTTGGATAAATTGTATTTCTTTGATCTCTCTTAACACACACACGGGACGGATATAGTAGTAGTAGGCTACTACAATATTGGCTGCATAATAAATAAAATGAAATTACAATTTTTAAACCATACAAGAAGCCAATTATTAAAATTAGTTGCATTTTCTCGCTGAGAAATATCTTAACTTTAGCGTCAGTAATCCAGTCAATGGCTTAGAGCCTACAAGAACTTCAGCAATGTCAACAATGTCCTCTTCTAAAAGCTGAAACAATTCTTGTTAAGAGAGTTGACACAAATTAAGATCTGGTTTTCCGGTGAGCGGTCGCCCACAGCAACACGAACTTACCATGAAAGGAAAATTCATCTCGGAGGACTTAGATGCTGTCTCTACTACACACGAAGAGACATAGTTAAGTGAGTACTCTTGAGAGACCCACTAGTACTCTTGAGTCCTTGGATGCTGCATATTTTCTACATGGCAGAGGGTCCCCACAAAAATAGCCAGAGGAGGTACCCATTTATTATATATATATGTGTGCAAACAACCCTGAATGGTCCCCAGGACTATATACAACTGAAAACTCACACCCCAGAAGTGACTCGAACCCATACTGCCAGGAGCAACGCAACTGGTATGTACAGGGACGCCTTAATCCGCTTGACCATCACGACCGGACATAAGGAAGTGATAGCCGAAGCTATTTGAACCACTTCCCCGCCGGCACTCGGATGGTAATCTTGGGCATAGCATTTTATCAAATCACCTCATTCTTTGGGGCACAAAATGGTTCAAATAGCTTCGGCTATCACTTCCTTATGTCCGGTCGTGATGGTCAAGCGGATTAAGGCGTCCCTGTACATACCAGTTGCGTTGCTCCTGGCAGTATGGGTTCGAGTCACTTCTGGGGTTTGAGTGTTCAGTTATATATATGTGTGTGTGTGTGTACTCACCTGGTTGTGCTTGCGGGGGTTGAGCTTTGGCTCTTTGTTCTCTCCTCTCAATCGTCAATCTACTGGTGTACTGATTCCTGAGCTTCTCGAGCTCTATCATATCTGCATTTGAGACTATGTATGGAGCCAACCTCCACTACTTCACTTCCAAGTGCATTCCATACACTAACAACATAACTTGTGTGTGCGTGTGTTGAGTGGGGTCACGAGGCCTGGCAGGCTGGGGCAGTTGCCTCAGCAACCACCCGCCCAGTAAAGTGAACGACCTTAAATTGCCCCATTAGCGAGAGTCGAGGTGGGATAAACGATACAGGGACGGCCATGAGCCCACCAGTGTTTTGTGGTGTGCATGTTGGTCCTGTAAGGCCCGTGAGGCATGATTCGCGCTCTAGTATAGCTAGGCTCAAGTAATGTGCTTGTTGAGACCGCATGAAACGCCAGAATTTACCTAATCTAACCAAACCAAACTTGTAGAGAACCTCGAATCAATTGATTACTCGCCTTAACCTAACTAATTATTCATCACATAGTATTCCCCTCTACCTATGTTATTATTAACGTCTGCCTAAATTCTCAATCATCTCTTAAAAAACATTTATTTACCGCAACCTCAGTTTTTTACTCTCAACATTTAAAAAGTATAAACAGTATATAAAGAATTTGGAAAAATGATATTTTAAAAGATTAATAAATCTCAACTTCAACCATAATGTGGTCAATATGGTCGACCTTAACCATAATATAATCATGGACTTAACCCTAAAGATAAATTATAACCCTGAAGGATAATAATTATTTTTTTTTCTGCAGTGAAATATTGTTTCTTAGACATAATATAGTTCCAAAGAAAAACCAACGAGTCTCAAACATATCACCTCTTCTCTTGGACATTCACTCAGAGCATTAGGATTTTATATTTGGCTCTCAAATCTATATATACAAAATTGTTGATTATTGAACAGCTGAACCCTCAGCCTCGTCTCAAGAAGATACTTTTTCTTCGTATTTACTCCCAGCTTTTAAAAATCTCATTAGTGCCACAAAAGTTTAGGAATAAATTCTAGAAAAGACATGGGATGGAATATATAACTTTCTCTAGGTGTTAACTGGCGAGGGACCTGCCTGGATGTTCAAACTCGACTGATCTACACTTATTACTAGTGAACTGAAGTACAAGTAGTAACCATTTCCTTGTGTCTTAATCTCACAGACCTTGTACAGCTACTATAATGGCCATTAAAATTTTTACTGTTACCACTAATTATCCTACTACTGTAACTAATAATAATAATTATAATAATAAATAATAATAATTATTAAGATTACGAAAAAGAAAAATTATATCAATACGAAAAATTAATATATTAAAACATTTTGTTAGCAACACAAAAAAAATATTCAATAAAACTCTGTTTTCAGTTGAATTTTGCAACGCTCCTAATTTACTTATGTTTTCCAAAAACTAAAGTGGCAAGCACAATTAGGAAGTATCAAGAAATAAAACAATAATAGTTAATAATAATACGAATAAATATTATTAATAAAAAAGTAATAATAACAATAATGATAAACATAATTAATAGTGCAAATAAACCATAATTTTGTCAAAATTCACGAGCTCAACCATAATGTGGCCAACACGGACGACCTCAACCATAATGTGGCCAACACGGACGACCTCAACCATAATGTGGCCAACACGGACGACCTCAACCATAATGTGGCCAACACGGACGACCTCAACCATAATGTGGCCAACACGGACGACCTCAACCATAATGTGGCCAACACGGACGACCTCAACCATAATGTGGCCAACACGGACGACCTCAACCATAATGTGGCCAACACGGACGACCTCAACCATAATGTGGTCAACACGGACGACCTCAACCATAATGTGGCCAACACGGACGACCTCAACCATAATGTGGCCAACACGGACGACCTCAACCATAATGTGGTCAACACGTATTCCTCTCGCGTTAGGAGTCCCTCCAGACTCGCTCCCTGCGCCCCCATGTTGTTAACTATCTCGTAAATTCCTACAACCTTCCCTGAATGGATCTCACCCCTCTACTCTTCCCATTACAGGCTACCATTATTCCGCCACACCTACCATTACACCCATTTACCTGCCCCAAATATGGCTAAATCTCTGTTTTAGCTTTTTTCATATATATATATATATATATATATATATATATATATATATATATATATATATATATATATATATATATATTATATATATTTATATATATATATATATATATATATATATATATATATATATATATATATATATATATATATATATATATATAATCTTTATCTCTCACACACGCACAATTCCACTCTCTCTCTTCTATTCACAATTTACGTTAGGTGACACATGGGTGGTTATCACTGAGATCCCATCCAGTAGACAGCTCCCTCAATTTCCCTCGTGGTTCGTTTCCCCTCATCTACACCAGGGGGACGGGCATGTGGTGAGAGGGGAAATCACACAAACTATCCCTCTAACACGTCTCCCATTATTTTTTCTACTATGATATAACCACTCACCTACACCAGAGAGGAACATGTGTTATAGTTAAATATTATAGGGGTATACGTATATGGCTATACTATTCCCCTTTGAAATTTTACTTGATTCTGACGATATATCTCCCCTTTGATACCGCAGGAGGACGCGTCGGTGGGTGTGAGGGAGACCACGTGAGCATCGAGGAGCCCAAGCTTCGAGAGCGTGGAGGCAGGTGGTGCGGGGAGGGAACCGGTCTCAATGTTTACTACAGCGAGACGGACACCGTGGCGATCACCCTCCACACTGCCTCCACTATCCAGGGGGAGTACTTCGACAATCCCCTCAAGTTCAAGATCAAGTGAGTATACAGTGATAAGTTTAGTAAGTTTAATGGTCGCTAAGCCATTTGAATTATGTAGGTTGAGTCACTTTGTTTGTTATTTTATGTATTGTGTAAGTGCGTAAGTAATTTTCTCAACTTTAAATATCTGAGGTTAGTGCCCCTTTTGGTACAAAAAATATTTAATTCCTCTATTTAGTTATTTAAATTACTTATCAAGACGCTTAGAGTGAGAGAGTTGGTACATTAATAACTAGGTCAAGTTTAATTATCAAGAAGAGTGTGCGAAAGTGAGCCCTATATAACCAACTTAGCTTCATGTATGTGGATGAAACAAAAAACTATGTGTTAATTGTTAATTATAATGTCTAATAAATTGTCGAGTGATTTATTAGGCAGGACGTCGAGCGGGGCAGATAAATTGTAATTTCTGCAATACTCATAGAAAATGCAACCAACATACAGTCAATTGTAAAAAGTGTTCTAGAGGCTTGAATAGTTTCCTAATCTCCAGGAAAAAAGAGATACTAACTAGGGTTCAAGCGGCTGAGAATAAGCAAACAAACTTACTCAAGAATATGTTAGATCTCAATCTCCTGTTAGCTGGACTAGCAACTTTCGTTTATCGAATGGCAGACCCTTTCAACTCGTAAGTTTCCGGGCATTAAAGCTCAGTACGCAATTGTATATTAACTGTTCATACTCCCATACTATGCATTCATTCTTTCAGAAATGAACGATACAAGATTTCTATCGAACGCGATGGTGTTGAAAATGTGAGCGCGATATATGTGTTAACGACAGAATGATTGAACGATAGGACGAAGCCGCACAAGGAATTAGTGCGCACTTCGTTGCAAACGCCATTCGTCACTCAGGTGTAATTAATGCCCATTGCGCACAATAAGCTTGCTCAGTACTATGCACACTGGTATATTCAGTGTGCACAACACTAAGTATTCACTGAACGTATAACGTACTTGAAAAAAATAAGAACGAAAAACATGTGACTTAGTTATGCATTAAGTTTCCACACAGGAAAAATGAAACTAAATTAATTCGAGTGCTCTTGTGATTCAACACATTCTGTTTTCCTTGAAAATGTGTTGAATCACGACAGCGCTCGGATTAATTTATTTTTATTTTACCTATGTGGATACTTACCAATGTTCAGTACGCGTGTGTTGAAATACCCCAGCATATCTTGTTGCAGCGCTAACCATGCAAGGGAATGGTAATTCTCAAAGTATTTTGTCAGGTTCTCTGAATGTTGTATGGCGAATATTTTTCATATTTATATATAATTCCTTCTGCAAAGGGACTTCATAAAATTGCGATGTATTTCCACCATTTTTCAGTAAATAAACATCCCTTTCAAAAGAGTTCGGATTCTTTTCGTTATCCAATTTTCCTTCGTTATCCAATATCTGAACCGTTATCCATTTTTACGTTTAATAAATATGAATAATATTACAGAAATAAAATAAATATTGGTATAATATGCAAATAAAATTCAAATAAAGACCTAATTTAAGCTTAAATAATCTCGAGTTTATTTAAAATGAATTTCCTCGATAATCTACAATCTTTATTCTTGGAAAGCATCATTGATCTTGCAACGACTCTTAGAGGTCACCACAGGTCTAGCACTGGAGGGCATCTTCACTGGAGGGACAAAATGATCCTCGGAGGGCATGAAGAGTCATACGACGATCTTTACAGGGCATCACTGACCTAGCAATGACCCCTAGGAGGGAATAATGACCTTTGGAGCACATCAAGTATGAAATATCCCAAGTTCATGCTTCCTTAGAGCCCGTCTGCATTGTATTCTCCAGTAATTCGTTTCTGAGTACCCAACCTAATGTTTCCAAGAGAGCGAGAAGGCGACTCAGTACAAAAAAAGAAAAATAAAGTTCTACTCCAGATATCACAAAATTCTTAAAGAACAGAGAGATCAATTATAAATTATACAAATGAAGGGATAAAGTAGAAACAGACAGGAAAATTAGAAATAACAGATAATGTATACAACGTTTTGATCTGAATGAGAACACTATTATATATTTTTTAATAGAAACCAAAATAAATAAATCTTGAATTTACATTTATTATGTGTTCACACTGTTGTTTGATTACATGAGATTAAAGTGTTTGTGTTCACGTATTTCAGTACTACTTACAGTATGTATGTGACAGTAGGGAACTGTCACAATAGGGAAATGGGGAATTATATTTGTATTTGTTAATTTTTTCTTTAAAGAATCAACTATTCTATTCAAGGGATAAATTTCAGATGGAAATGAAATGTACCAGATTATTGATAGAGGGTGAGACGCAGTTATTGATGAATTTCCTGCGACATGCTGCAAGAGAGATTACAGGTCAATGTTAATTCCTCTACATGTCATCTCACGAGAAGGAATCCCTCTAGAGACATCTCTCTCGGGTCATCTCTCTGTTATCATTACCTTGCCTCTTAAAACCGTCTACTGGTTTCCTTCCAGGTACAAGTTCCTGCGACGCGAGCGTGCCATCGTGCGTTACGGACGGGGCGGCGCGACCAAGTACCGGGGAGACGTGGTGCGCAACAGCGCGTGTAGCCGGGTATTCCAAGGCTGCAGGGCTCGTCAGTGCCGTCTCCAGTCCCCAAACTTCCCCGGGTTGTACCCTCGCAACGTGACTTGCTACTACCTGGTGAAGTCCCTGCCGGCGCCCTCGCCGGATCTTGTACCCGTGGTCACCCTCAGTCAGGATAACGACCGCTTGGTACAGGTCGGTCGCAAAGGCCACGGTGGACGTGTCTCGCCAGAGGCTCGCCTTCAGCAGGATAACGAATGCCGCGCGCCTGAAGATTACCTGCTGGTGTACGATGGCGGGTCGCAGAAAGCGCCGTTGTTAGCCAAGATGTGTGGTACCGCTACCATCCCTAACATCACCTCCAGCGGGCCGGAGATGTTGGTGGTGTTTCAAACAGCAACTTCGGGCATGATGAACCATCTTGCTAACTTAGTGACGGGGTTTGAACTAGAGGCTCATGTGTTATTCATGAAGCATAACCCCAATACCGTAAGCAGCATGCAGTGCGGACAGATCATTAAAAGCTTCGGTAGCAGTAGTGGGGTGGTGCTTAGTCCAATATTCGCTCTTCCCGCCAACGCCACCTGCTCATACGAGTTCCAGGGGCGTAGGGACGAGATTGTCTGGCTATATTTTACCAAATACCACAGGACACGAAAGAAGGAAATTATGATCAGTTATACCCCGTGTCGTAACCGCCTGGCTCTCTTCGACGGAAAGATGTTTTATAGCAGAGAGTCGGCAATTTCGTCCTTAATGGGCGAGTACTGCGATGATCAGTTGCCGCCAATTTGTGTCAGATCGCGTCAGAAAGGGACAGTGAGCCAGCCGTGTTCGTTTAAAGAGAGCTTTCTCTCCACAGGGCCTTCCCTTTTCGTCTTGCAGGAATTCACGGACGGAACCAGTCTTCTTCCACTTAATTACGTCATTCACTTCGAATTTGTTAGTTTATTTCAGTCTGGTAACGAGTCTGGGAGTGACTGTGACAGAGTGTTTACCAGTGCACAAGGCCCTAAGGGACATTTTAGCTCTCCTAAAAATGTATTTCTGTATGGTCGGGGAGGGAAATCTTCTCTCTCGTGTAAATACACCTTTCAGACCTTACCGGGAGAAGCAATAAAAATAAAAATCACGAACGTGGGATTTCGTGGCAACATGTGCAGAACGATTCACAATTTCCAATCGAACCTCTACGAATGCATCGCACGTCTGCCTGGCTCAGCGGTTCTAGAGTTGTGGGAGGAGCCTTGGGGCCTCACTCGCCTCCCTCTCGGGTGTATGTGTGATGCTGGAGTCACGCCCTCAAATTTTATCAGCCACACTCGCCTCGTTCAGCTTAAGTTTGCAATCAAGGAGATGAACTGGAGCCAGGATTTCAATGATTTTTTCTTCGATGCCGAGTACGAGTTCACCAGAACGAGAGAATGTACCGACGAACGAATCCTAAAGGGCTCGACAGGGTCGATCGTTATTCGGAGTGACGAAGAATTCGCCGAATGTAACGAATATCCTTGGAAGATCGTGGCTCGTGAGCACAGCCACTTGTACCTGAACATCCCTGGCTACCATGCCTCCAGCCAGCGCTGCTCCACAGAGAACAGGGTGGTGGTATACGGCAGTCATACAGCCAGACCCATCAAAGCCGTGTGCCCTGAGGCAGGCGGCACGGATAGTGTGGACATATTCTCATCGGGTTGGAACACGGCTCTGGATCTGTCCGAACCACGCCCCGATAGCCTCATTATCCGTTACCTAGCCAGGGAACCCGCTACATATAAGCTCACGTGGCTTGAGGTGCGGCGCGAGCCACGCCCCTCGGCGTTGGAGTCCCTGAAGGGCGCGGGAGGGCGTGGGCGTGCCACGGTTGCCTCCTGCCCTCACCAGTGCCCTGAATTAGATGCCTGCATTAGCCCCGAACTGTGGTGTGACGGGGTGAAGCACTGCCCGTCCGGTGCAGATGAACTCCGCACCACCTGCCTCTACTTCACCGTCCCATGGCTCTACCTGATCCTCGGGGCTGTGGCCATTCTCGTCTGCTTGCTGGTGTTTGCCTCCGCCCTCGTCGCTGTCAGGATCTACCAAAGAGGTAAAGTCAAGAGGAAGAAGAAAAAAGAGGCCCAAAGATTGATGACTCGGGAAGTCATTCTTCCACTGAACTTCCAGAAGGAAAACATTTACTGAGGTTGAGAGAAAGAGTCAGTGACACAAATAGGAAGTTACCTCCTTAGCTCCCCGACTCCGCCTCTCCTCCTCTTACCACAACTGGCCGCCTTGTCATGGCTAATTTTTTATATCCAGTTTTGTATAACTTGTTTCCATGAGATTCAATGGTGTTCTTACACTTTGTACATACTTATATATATTTTTTGTTTTAATTTACAGGTAACTAGTAGAGATAAATTTTCTAGGTAGATGAACACTTTGTACACCCACGAAGGTTTTCCCTAGTCGTCTGTGAGAGTAGTGGTGATATTTCTACCTAATATCAGTCGCCATGCCTTACATATAAAAGGGAGGAAAATATGCCCCGTTTCGGATCCTGTTCACAACTCTTTCATACTCATAGACAAATAGGTCTCGCTCTTCCCACTGATGTGACACAGCCTATGGTCTTACACATCTTGAACAGCGTCTCGAAGCTCTGGCTCTCGAGGACATAGGGCATGATAGTATTGCAATATGGTGTCATTGATGCCCCGTTGACCCACTCCTATATGCCTGCCACACCAGCTTTCCTTCTGCACACGTCTCTTAATACCATTACACAATATGCTCTTTGTCTCTATATCTGGCTCGAGATTCTAGCTCACACAAAAAAAACAGGTCCCCAGCTCACCAACTAGATCAGTGGGTTCAGTCTGTCCGACATCTGAGTTTGTCTAAATAAAAAATATATAACATTGATGGCATTTGACAAAAGAATGATCACGACCAAATAATTAATTCATTACAAAAGCTAACTTGAAGCTTGAATAAGTTATGTTTACATATAACCCCCCCCCCTCCTATTTTCCTAAATTTTAATGAAGCCTATTCACGCATATCTGGCCTAAGACATCACCTCACACCGTACATGGTTTAAAAAAATAATATTACCCCCATGACTCCCAGTCCTCACTACTACTAGCATTTAAAACCTTTTCCTTATAATTTCCACTACCACAATAATGATTCCAATATATTGATCAAACTCAAATGTCCACAGCCTTCAGTAACAGGATAACAACGCATTAGATATAAATTATATATAAAAACCTAAAAAAAAATAATCACTTATATTCTTGTCTCACAACCTTATCTTGCCAAACACAACAGAGGCACTACATAGTGACCTCAGAATCCTACCCAAAAAAATATAACAGCTCTATCTCTTCCTTAAATTGAATCCTCACCTCCCTTACCCTAATGAGCTTACTATAATCCTCACTTCCCGTATCTACTGATCTTCCTATTATCTTAACCCCTACCCCCCCCCCACACTGATCATATTATACCCTTCATTTCCTTCACCCTACTGATCTTACTGTAATTTCTTCAGACCACAAAAACACACTGAACCACGGGCTTGGTCCAGGCGGACAGGCAGGACCAGCACTCACAGAACACTCCCATGTAGAGTTGCGAGATTTGCACTCACTCTTATCATGCCGCTTAGTCGGTATTTACTGTACAGTTTACGGGATCCGAAGCGCTACGAGTTCGGTCTTAAACTAAGGTTGTGATTTTTATGGTCGGATTCGTAGCTCTTCGATGCTCATAAACAATTTAGTACATTCTAAGCTGCAAGATTCGAGAAAAGAGGTACACAGCTCTCACCAGTCGAATCGTAACCACTCTGTGAATCCTGGTCCAGAGGTCACTTAACCCGAGACTCAACTGACCTGGTTCTTGTAGCAGGAGGGAGACTGTGATAAACACCCCCGGGTCAGTGTAACAGAATCACTTGTTTTATTAAGAACAGGGGAAGACTTTTGAACTGTTGGTTTGTGAATTTCTGGCCTGTGCTTTTAGAATGTAAGGGGCTGCTTCAAATACATTAAATTATATGAATGTGTATAAAATAATTTTGTATTTATAATATGGCCAAATGTAATTTACAGATATAAGGAAGTATGTTACGTATTTATTACAGGGATAGTGACTAGGAACTTTAAAATTATTTCGAATGTTGTCGATGTATGCAAAGCAGCTTTTTAGATTCTCATGGCGTATGCCTGTTAATACACGAAAGAAACATGATTTGCACAAAACACCACGACAAAGTGTTCCCTTCTAGGTTAGTACGTGGCTTTTACTGAACAGGGAGAGAGACGGTGAAATTCTAACCATTATTGTGATAAAAAAAGAAAAAAAAGATTTAAACATTTAAAAAAAAAGCGTATTTACACATATCGAAAGCTGTTTAATGTTTGGTTGTAGTCAGGTGTTTAAAGTGTGGAACTTTGCCAAGGTAGCTTATATAACGTGTGAAATGAGATGTGTATGTTTTATGAGAAAGAACCGCCCTTGAAAGATATCTGCCAAAAGCGGCTGTTTTTAATATTTGATAATTTCTGAAGTCTATGAGGTTCTCCAGAGTGTGGTCACAGCTGCGATTTGTACTTGGTTCTCTTATATCATGTCCAGCAGCCTTGGAATGGCACAAATGAAACTGGGCTCTTACTCGTCACAATCTAAATCGTGATTTATTTGAACAGATCAAATGAAAAATTATGCAAAAGCATATATTAAATTTTATGTGAGAAAAATAATCCGTTATGAACCATTTCTTGTTTAGTTCAGATGCAACATAATATACGATTTTTTTTAATAGTCTTTCTGAAAATAAAACATTATTTGAACGAATTTTTCATAAAATTTGACCTAATGACTGCGTAAAGTCTACAATAATTTGAGACGCTATCCACTAAGACTTCATCAACTTGTTTGAGTGATGTAATATATATACAAGAGATTCACTCTAGACAAATAATGCTTTTTGAGTGAAGAGGAACTTACGGTGATTAAATTTACCACACGATTGAAATTATTTCGTTAATCGAATCGTAAGAAATCAGGTCCTTGCACGAGGCATTTACGATCCCAATTGGCATCTCTTCCTTTGTTAAGACTTCCAGACATGTTGATAAAATTAATTTAATGAGAATAGCATCAGTGACTACATTCATTTATATTTATTATATATATATATATTTAGTCATTTAAAAAATTAAAAACAACAATAATTTTATTTAATCAGAGAAAATATACAAATATTCTTAGTAAAGGTATTTAATAATTAGAATTGTATTATTTGTAACAAAAAAATAAAATTAGATATTTCCATTGAACAAAAATGTTATATGTATTAGGCCATTCTAGTGTCTGTTGTAGAGGTCACGGTATGGCAGTATCTTTCCGTGGTGATCAGTGTGTCCTGTGCAGGGGAATACGTAAGGATATTTATGGAAATGTAGCGACCCCCAACACGTGTTCTAAATGTTACTGTATTTTTGTACCGTAATTTTGTAGAATGAGTATTTTTGCAATAAAATGGTGATGCCAAAGAACAGATTTTGTTTTATTTTGCTTCCAATAGTATCATGTGTAAGCACAGTGCTGCTATATGAAAGAGGATACCGTTGACTTGGGTTTCTGTTGCTGGTGTGAATGTTTTGATCGTGAGTATGCGTGAGGAATACGTTAGTGAAAAATAAGACAAAAATCCAAAGGACTATTGTCTACACTACAGTCAACGATTATGTCAAATGCGGCACGTACATACATATTATATATTATATATTATATATATATAATTATATTATATATATATTATATTATATATATATTATATTAATATATATATATATATATATATATATATATATATATATATATATATATATATATAAATATATATATAATCTACAATAACGTTGGTAATAACCTTTCATTAACTTGGATCATCGGAAATTCGAATTCAGGTCTCGTATATTTCAGGCCCGAGTTCGAATCCCCGATGATCCGTGTGAATGAAATGTTATTAACCATGCTATTGTGGTTTGCAGCGTGTGTGTGTGTGTGTGTGTGTGTGTACGCGCGCGCGCGTGCGCAAATGTGTGTTCATGTGTGGATGCGTTATGAATTGCTCAATTCACATTAGTCAAACGACAGGACAATTTTTTTTGCCTTTCAGTACATTTGATACATTTCACTAGAGATCACATTAACAGTAGTAGGGTTGACACGCCACAGACGAATTTTTTTTTCTGGGAAAAAAGGTACCTGTGCGCCCCAAGGGTTTCAGGTAAATTTAGAATATCCCCTGTGCGCCCCAAGGGTTTCAGGTCCAAAGGGAAAAAAAGGTACCTGTGCGCCCCAAGGGTTTCAGGTAAATTTAGAATATCCCCTGTGCGCCCCAAGGGTTTCAGGTCCAAAGGGAAAAAAAGTGCCTGTGCGCCCCAAGGGTTTCAGGTCAAATATCCCCTGTAGCGCTTTAGGGTTTTCAGGCGAATTTGGGGAGTCACAGATTTAGAATTAGGGAATTCTTATAATGAAAAATAATGTCATACGAGTTTGCTAAAGTTCTTATAAGAAAAATAATTTCCGAGACTTAGAAGTTTGTTAAGGCCTTATGGGAGAAATTCAAATAACGTGTGTAGCACTTTAGGGCTTCCAGGAGAACTCTACGGACATATTTTACATGTTTTCAACTTACAAAATCGTCTATGTAAGCCTTAGTTATTCATATAAATTTAGAAAATCATCTGTGTAAGTCATTGTTTTCTGGGTTTCGTACATCACACCCCCCTCCCTCCCCCCCTTACCTCGCAATCTGTCGCCTCACCTGTGTTTACTTTACGCCCTGTCAGCCAGACCTCTTATCTTATGTTATCTTCTCATAATATCTGGACCGTCCCTCCTCTCTCTCTCTCCTTTCATTCAGTTCAACTATTTTCCAACATCGTATGTTTGCTCCTTTTCATTAAGCAAGTCAGTATGTTTGCTCCTTTTCATTAAGCAAGTCAGTTTTACACAAATAAATCATGTTAGTAAGCAAGTTCTAGCTCACGTTCCCCACCTTAGTCCCCTGTCGTATAATGAATACTATCATTCCAATCCCTCTAAAATTTAAAAATAATCATATTTCAAATGTAGTTCAATACAGTAATTTAGTTACCAAGCTCCAGCTCTTGTCCTCCGCCTTAGCTCTCTCTCGTATCTTCGTTAGTATCAGTCCAATTTCCCTGAAATTTCTACCCTCTGTATTTCAGACATAGTTTAGTAAATGCAAACAATTATCAAACTCTAGCTCTTGTCCCCAGCTTAGTTCATTTGTACAAAATCATTAGTAACAGTCCAAATTCCCTGAGATTTTTAGCCTCTGTATTTCAGACACCGTAAATAAGATCAAAACAGTTACCAAGCTCCAGCTCTTGTCCTCCGCCTTAGCTCTCTCTCGTATCTTCGTTAGTAACAGATCAATTCCCCTGAAATTTCTACCCTCTGCATTTCAGACACCGTAAATAAGATCAAGTCAGTTACTGAGCTCCAGCGCTTGTCCTCCGCCTTAGCTCTCTCTCGTATCTTCGTTAGTATCAGTCCAATTTCCCTGAAATTTCTACCCTCTGTATTTCAGACATAGTTTAGTAAATGCAAACAATTATCAAACTCTAGCTCTTGTCCCCAGCTTAGTTCATTTGTACAAAATCATTAGTAACAGTCCAAATTCCCTGAGATTTTTAGCCTCTGTATTTCAGACACCATAAATAAGATCAAAACAGTTACCAAGCTCCAGCTCTTGTCCTGCTCCTTAGTTCTCTTTCATATCTTTGTAAATAAACCACCAATTTCCCTGAAATTTCTACCCTCTGTATTTCAGACACCGTAAATAAAATCAAGTCAGTTATCGAGCTCCAGCTCTCGTCCCCCGCCTTAGTTCTCCTTCGTATCTTTGTAAATAACCCATCAATTTCCCTAAAATTAAAAGCAGACATACTTCAAAGTTAGTAAATAAAATCAAGTCAGTTATCGAGCTCCAGCTCTCGTCCCCCACCCTCTTCCACCCTCAAGTCTTTGTAAATAAACCATCAATTTCCCTGAAATTTTTTACCCTCTGTATTTCAGACATAGTAAATATGAAGTAAACAATTATAAAACTAGCTCTTGTCCTCTGTCCAAGCTCACTTTTGTAAAATCATTACTCTCAGTCCAAATCACCCAACTACATTTTCAGACATAGTAAATAAAACCAGTTCAGTTATCAAGTTTCAACTCTTGTGCCCCAGCTTAGTTCATTTGTGCAAGTTCTTTATTTTCCAACTAAATCACCCTGAGATTTAAGATCACCTTATTTTCTAACGTAGTAAAATTAATCTGGACATTAACCAAGCTCCATTTCCTCAGCCTTAGATCATCAGACATAAATATATTCGATCAAGTCCCTCTCCAGCCTATCTGTTTATCTGAGTAATTACTTTACCCTTCTCATCCCCAACGTATCAATCCCCAACGTATCCAAACCTTCAATAATCGTACTGTATTTGCATATTTTCTCTATATTCAGCTGTGTTCTTCACATTTTTTTCCATGTTTTCTGTGTTCATTCCATGTTCTATAAATGTTCACAGCAAGCTCAGTTCAAATTTTTTCTGCCATTTTCCCCGTATGTTCACTATGTTCTTTGTCATATTTTCATGTGCATCATATGTTCTCTGTATAACTTTGTATTCCCTATGTTCCTTATCATGTCTTCATATTCTCTATAAGTTCTTATTCCCTGCATGTTCACTCTATTCATCAACTGTTTCTTACATGTTTTCTGTGTTCACCGTATGTTCACTGTGTTCATTCCCTTACTTAACCTCAATTTTTTATGTTCTTTGTTTCTTCCATTCACTAACTAGTTCTTTGTCAAATAATATTATACTGCATTACAGTTCCCTCAACAATTTTAGTCACCAAGTTTTTATTTGCAAAACTATGTCAAAGTAATTCTCGTAGTCAACTTAATAGTTCTACCAGCCAATGTTCTTAAACAAATCTACACTTTATTCAGTTCCAAATTTACAAAGACAAACCTTTCTTGTAACTTCTTAACTAAAAATCTTTCGCCAATCAACTGAAACATAGTCACTTTCCTCATTTCTCAACTAAACTTATTATCCAGTCAACTAAAAATAGTCAGAAATAGCCTCGTTCAACACTGTTCTTAACTAAAACAACCTTTCTCTTAGCTAAAAATTGTCAAAGGAAACTTTTTTCAGCACTTTCTTAACAGGCGCTATGTTTCATCAAGAAAAATTGTCAAAGGAAACTTTCCAAAACTGTTCATAACTAGCTTTTATCCATCGTCAATCAACTAAAAATAATAACTTTCATCATTTCTTAACTAAACTTATTCCCCCCAGTCATCAGAAAATAACCGTGTTCATCATGTTTCATTGTCATTTCTTAACTAAAATTATCTGCCAATCATCAGAAAAAGTCATGTTCATCATGTTTAAGCTTTTGCTCAACTAAAAGTATTCATCAGTCAACTAAAAAAATAGTTACTTCATCATGTTTCCTTGTCATTTCTTAACTGAAATATCACTTCGCTCATTTAAAATAGTCATGTGTAACCTCTTTCCAACACTGTTCTAACTAAAGCAACCTTTCACATCGCTAAAATAGTTACTTCATCATGTTTCCTTGTCATTTCTTAACTGAAATATCACTTCTCTCATCTGAAATAGTCATGTGTAGCCTCTTTCCAACACTGTTCTTAACTAAAGTAGCCTTTCACTTCGCTAAAATAGTCATATTCATCGTTGTTCCTAACTAAAATATATGTCGTTAAGTAAGAAATATAGTCAAAAACACTCTTCCAGACATCAAGGACTCACTCTCGTTCATCAAAGTTGTTTCAAAGACATCAAAGTTATTCAAAGAGCTAACAAAAGTTATTCTCAGAGTCACCTTCGTTCTTCAGAGAAACTTTCCAAAACATCTTTATTCATCAAAGTTATTCTCAGAGGCATAAAAGTCATTCTCAGAGCTATCAAACTTGTTCTCAAAGTCATCAAACTTATTCACAGAGTCATCAAAGTTAATCTAAGACATCATTTTTCATCAAAGATATTCTCTCTAAACCATCAATGTTCTTCTCTAAGACATAAAAGTTATTCTCAGAGTCACCTTCGTTCGTCAGAGAAACTTTCAAAACATCTTTGTTCATCAAACTTGTTTTCAAAGTCATCAAAAGTTAATCTAAGACATCTTCTTTCATCAAAGTTATTTTCAGAGACATCTAAAGTTATTCTCAGAGCTATCAAACTCGTTCTCAGAGTCATCAAATGTTATAAAGTTATTCTCAGAGACATCTAAAGTTAATCTTGGTCATCAAAGTTGTTCTCTAAACATCAATGTTGTTCTCCAAGACATCAAAGATGTTCTCAAAATCATAAAAGTTATTCCCAGAGCTATCAAAGTTAATCTCAGAGTTATCCAAAGATATTCTCATGTCCACAAAAGTTATTCCAAGAGACGTCAAAGTTGTTTCAAAGACATCAAAGTTAATCTCAGAGTTAT